GATGATGCCTAACATAGGAAAGGTCCAGGTAGCACTGTGGATCCATAGCACTCTTCAGGAGTTGTATAGCTGGGGGTGGGGCTGTTTTAATGAAAACTGCTAATATAGATGTATGAAGATATAGAGACTCAGATCGCCTTCTGAACAAGAGAAAAAAATTCCCCACTTAGAGGTGAACACTTTGATGGTTTCAGGGGACAGAAGAGACAAAAATATTAAACTGGAAAAATATAAGCACCAAGAAAAAAACAGTTCAAGCATAGAAAATCATTTTGAGGACCATGTTGAAGACTTGAGAGCAATAAAACATTATGGTACCTCAGCTCATTTATACTTAACTTATGATTAGTGAGGACCATTGATTTCATAGAGAAATTTGGTGAATATTTATAGTGAAAGGTGAGTCACTCAGTAGCAAGAGGCTCTCACTTAAACCATTGCATTTATAGCAACCTGGGACAAGACTCAGATATGAGGTAAGAGCTAAGAATCTGTAGTGAATATTGAATTTATAAGAGGGAGCAGCAAAGTTGGGCTGCTGCAGTGGTAGCAGTTGCAAACAAAAGCATTCTGTCAACTAAGTGCTAAGTAATTCCTAATTAACACAAGAGAAAATTTCATTTCCTTTGCCAAATGTTTCAGCGGCAGCTGTTGCCTATTAGTGCAAACCAAATTGAGGGAGGTGAAACACATTGTGAGGGAAAAGCCGAGGGGAAGAAAGGTTTTGCAGTTGCTTTGTATCCTAGTGTGCTGGCTCAGATTCTAATTGGACAACATGAACATATCTTCCAGTAATGATATATACATATATACATATATATATATATACATATATATGTATATATGTATATGTATATATGTGTGTGTGTGTGGGTGTGTATACTATATATATATATATACACATATATACATATATACATATACATATATACATATGTATATGTATATATGTATAGTATATATATGTATAGTATATAGTATAATATCTAACTAGTAAGCCAGAGGAGCTTCACAGTTCTTTTGCTTAAAAGGAACTACTATATTCACAGCAAGAGGCAACATTTTCCAGGCACCATTTTTGAAAATGCCTGTAAGTTGAAAAAGCTTTCAAATGCTAGGTTTGTTTATAGAAGAGAAGATTATTCAAGATGGAGAGAGGCAAGAATCAGTTATCAGAAAAGGTATTTCATGAAATACAGATATTCCTAAGTGGACCAATGACATTAAAGTCTGCAGCCTAGAGTTTTTAATTATCCAGAGCACATAGGTGTTCCTCATATGCTTTTCTGAAAGATGCCTGTATGTTCCCTCTCTCCCCAACACATACTCGATGCGTTTGTGGGAACATGTGATCATGATGTTATTTGTATATTAATTTTAATATGAATGTCTATTATAATAGTTTGACTTATTACTAAATACATTTAAACATTTAAAATTGTACAAGTATGATATTTGATGTGAGTTGTCTATATCCATTGTAGTGTGTTACACTGTGTTTAGCCAGTCGTGTAAAAAGAAACACTAGTTTAGGCCCAAAAGCTTGACAGTTCGTTTCCCTTCAGTAATGCTGCTCACTAGAAACCTAAGAGAATTTGATTGTAACCCTAGGATGATAGTACATCTATGGAGACAGATCAGCCAAACAACTCAGGGAATAAGATGTCTGATATACCCCGGGTGGGAGGGGCCATATTGAATGCCAAAGCACACACCAGATTCCCTGCTTCCATTACATCTAAGCTCCAGATCCCTGCCTTGAAAGACCAATTGTGTAAGGCTGACCATTTGAAAGCTGGCTCTACAGGGAGCCTTACATCTTATTTGAATTTGGGAGGGAGATAAATAGAAGACCATTTTATAGGCTAATTCTTTTTCTTAAGGAGCAGATTGGCTATAAAGGTCATAATTAGAGCTATGCCTTTCATAACCTCCAAGCCAAAAAAAAAGTAGCCAGTCGATAGAAGGCTAAGTAGGACTCCCTATACGTCATTCTGAAAAACTCCTGCGATAACAGATAGCATATTGCCTTAGTCAACACATACTCTGTTGGGCGAGCCCAACCCATCTATTAGCCCAAAGCTTAGGTCTCTCCATCTGTAAGGTGGGGCTTAAAGGGCATGTTACATGAGACAACAAAAGGTCTGTGTTCGCCCCACAGACTACTCTGCAAGGTGCTGCAGCTAGTTGGTACCATGGGCAGATATGTTTTCAACAAGCAGCCTAGTGAGTGGTACTCAGGAAAGACAAAGGTTTTATTCAAGCTTGACCAATATTATCAAGGCTAAGTTTCTTTCTTTATAAAAAGCAACAAGTGTTTATTGCCCTAATGAACTTCTTGGAGATGTTTGGAACGTTACCATTATATATGGATGTGTCTCTATAATTGTATGCAAGACTGTCTGGAAACTTGATAGTTATCTATTAAGAGTCAGTGAAAGAATCACGGAAAGAGAAATCATCCCTTACTATGCACACTAGACTATTCATCTCTTTTAGAGAAAAAGAAAACCGTTTAGATGAGTTGTCTGGTGGACAAACCAAGAAAACTGCAAACTCCAGAATTTTGCTCTCTTTAGATGCTAGCTAGTACAGAGCAGCCATCTAACCTCAACAAAGCAATAGCCTTCACTTGGTAGCCCTTCAAGTCTAAACTAAACTCACTGCCCATCTGGCATCTATCCTGCCTTAGAAATATATTGAGGAGGTACTTTGATGGGCTATCTGTCCCATTGTGTGCCACACATACTGTGCATCCCAGGGTGTCCTTGCTGTGGTTGATCAGACCCAGCTCACATTGCTGACGATTTGCTAAAAGAGTTGTGTGTATGAGACGTACCTTGCATGTTGTCAGTAAGGAATCTCTGTTGCTGCTGGCAAGCTCAGTCTCTACCATCATCACTCTCACCCTCCAATATTCATTCTGTTGCCAGTGCCATGTTGATTTTACCTTCATAACATATGTCACATTCTTTTCTAATAGTTACCACCCTGTTGTTGTCCCTCTACACCCTATGCTTAGATTATAACGATAGTCTGCTGGTTGGTTTCAGTCAACCCTTACTTTGACACCTAAGTGCTTCCCACTCAAAGCTTGGAAGACAGATTGCTGAGCAAAAGGACTTGAAATAGCCAGGGCATAAATAACATTGGCACTGTTTTTCAGGGTTTCTTTCCCAGCATTCTACCCCCATCTTTAGGAAACCCACTGAACCAATGGAGAGAACAGATGCAAAGGTTGTAATGCATATGCATAGGGAAGAGTCGGCATTGTTGTCAAGGGCTCCAGAGCTGAGTCTCAGGAGTCTTCTAAAGGATAATATCCCAAGGATAGATCTTCAGGTTCAAAGAGTTCTTCAGTAGTCTTGACCTTGGTGGGACACCTGAGCAATCCCTGCTCATCCTCAAACTATCCCTACTTTACTGTAGGATTTCATGGAGGTTGTGATCCTTTGGACATCAAGGATTTTGAAGGTTTGAAAAAACTTAAAGTTCTGGTAGGCTTATGTTACAAGCAGCAGCTGGTAGACAAACTTACCCTATTTGTCAATTGGAATTTTGTTCAGAGCCAAAGGGTCCAAGTCCCTTTAAAGAGTACAAGAATTGTCTTAGGGGACAAATGCTACATTCCATGAAGGAGAGCACTGAGTAAAATGTTCCCCTACCTTCTTACTCCATCACCAAAGGGATGATGCATTTTTGACTACTAAGTGGCAAGAGTACCAGAGAGAGTTTTGAGTGAACTGGAAATTTCTTAGACTAGAGTAGACACTTGGGCCAGTCTTTGAAATTTTAGACTCAAGAACCCGACCACCACAATTAGTGACATGACTGTTCCTTTTGAGAACTCTTAGCATTTGCACCTACGAAAACTGACAAAATGGTCCAATAGTATTCTGTGTCCCAGTATCTGGCATAAGAAGGGTACAGAATACACAGAACATGCTGATGATGCATCCAGCCAATGAATACTGGCATTGAGGGACTGTCAACTTTTGTACGAACTAATGGTATGCGATGCTATCAGGTGGAATGGGGATACATGTGGTAAGCATGCTGTAGTAGTGAGACATTACAGGAAACAAATGACCAATTTTAACTATTCCTTACTAAAGGGCATGATTTATAATTACTCCTTAATTGAGAAGAGTTTGCCTTTCTTCCAGGAAGACATGTATATACACATATGTTGTATATAATTTTTACTGTTTATACTTTATCATATTACATGTTTGTGAATATATTATTGTATTATGTTTATGAATAAAAATAGATTTTTGTGCTTATAGTTCTCTTGCACCTTTGTACCTTGCCATGAATTTAATTCTCTGGCTAAAATTATGATGTTCAAAACATTATTTTGACAAACGTTAACTGAATAAAGTCAAAATCCTAAGTATGTGGAGAACCAAGTATTAACCTCTGCTCCCTCATACCATTCTGAGGCCATCTTTATCTCATGATGTGAGCAGACATACATCTGGGTAGAAGGGGTTTTTTTCTTCTTGGCACATGTCTCTCAAAAGTGGCTGGCAGAGCACCAGATCCAGACTGCCATGATTATGGGGTCATTTGGAATCTGAGACCTGGGTGCCAAGTCTGTTTTGTAAATACTAAGGGAAAAAAAAGACCTAATATAACCTTATTAGGTTAACTGGCGTAGGATGCTATTAGATGGAATATGGCTATATACCTTGAGTGTGTATCACAGGAGTGAGACAGTATAAAGTTTGAGTAGCTCTGGATAAATGTATTTTTAATTTTTGCTATTTACAACAGTAGGACATAGCTTCTTTGGTTTCTTTTAAACACTTTTCTAACTTAATCTGATCTAACAGACAAGTTAGAATTGCCTGCTACTTGCTGGTTCTCTGTATTTGTACAATGCTGAATGTTTCTAAACATTGGCTCACTAAATTAAATTTACAAAGAAGACACAGTACTTTTCAATGACATGGATTAAAGAACATGCTGTAGGACCAGATCAAAGTTTAACTCACTTGCCACTCTCCTTAGAAGCTTCTGCCCATCACCAGAGAGCCATCTTTACCTTATGACCTTTGTGGCTCTTCATCTCCTTTTGTTGTGAACCTGGGTCCAATAAGAACAGTGTTACTCATTACTTTTTAGATTGTGAGCCATAGAAGAATTTCCCTAACAAGTTCATCCTTTCTGGAATCCTATGAGGAATATGCTTTCTCTGCCTCATGAATTGCAATTACAGCATTTATATCATCAAATTCACCATTTGAAAGTTCACCATTTTATGGTTTGGGTGCAATATTTCTTATTGCTTCTAAAAATCTGTTCATTAGGGTTTCTCAGATATTTTATCATTAAAGGTAATGCAAAATTATAGTGACAGACAAATGATAAATTCTGAAAATGTAAAAAACAAAAACCAAATCATAAAATAGTAAAATAATGAAAACCATATACAATGATAATTTATTTCATAAATATATATATGCAAACTCTCATACATATTTGAATTCTGTTGATACTTCAAGGGGACAAAGATTAATAAGGGGAAAAAAATGACCCAATAGAAATAAATGTAGGAACATTTCTTCTTTACAATAAAAGCAAAAAGTGTTTGAAGCATGTATGTCACTTGATGCATCTGGTATTTATTGTTGGAACCACATTTTTATTTCTTTAATTATGTGAATACTCTTTATAGAAAAAGCTGGGAAATATGAAGGAGAAATCCCTAAGCCTTTTTGCATTTCAAGAGTCTATAAATATTTTTGTCAATTGCACGTGTGATCAGTTTGTCATTTGATGCATATGTTCATTATTTTAACTTACCCATAAAAAAGTAGGTAGGATGGCTCCTGGGGGTATCTTTTGTTCAAAAAAAAAAAATTAGGCCACAAATTGGTTCCTAGATGCGAGGTATCTTTGATATGGAAACTGAAGTGAACAAAAAAATCTCAGTCCCAGTTTTGTCTAGCATCCTCAGCATGGAATCCTTTTACTGAAAATTGTCAGAAGGCGTTAATTCCCAACATACTGGTCAAGGAGCAATTGCTGTCTTTCAAGGCATGTTGTAATTTTATTCAACAAATGCTACAAAATGACCTATGACAATTATTTTATGTCACTTCATCCTGCCTGAAAACATGCATTTAAATGTGCATCATAGTTAGGACTATTTGTCATAAACATAGGGAACTTACAGAAGTAATAAGACATGTCGGCCTCTGCTTGGAAATCAGATTTTGAAATCTACAAAAAAGCATCAAGTGACAGCAACAATTCCATCTTAATAAATTCAAGTCTATCACAAGTGCCCTCCATTCAGATGTTCAGATCCCACCAGAGAACAATCCATAGCAAAGTATTACACGGAGGAATCAGCAAATAGGAGATAGCCCCCAGTATAGGCCAGACACAAACATTGCTTTTGCATCTAGATACCCTCGCAAAGCTAAATGCTTATAAATCAATATAGGGCAATTGGGAGAAAATAGTTTAATCTCTAAACTCATTTTAAGTGAAATAAAAACAGATATTGGGGAGTTACTAATCGTAAGGGCACAAACCTGAAGAATCTCAAGTCAAAGAATCTCACTTAATTCCAAGCTCCAGTTTTAGGGGTTGGCTGGCTATTGATTTAGTTCAAGACGGTTACATAAGCCACACAGTACAGCTTGTAGGAGTCCATACGGAACTTCCCAAAGGAATAAGTGAAGACTCTGATACAGGCATTTGGCTGATAGGGAAGGGTCTGTCAGAGTCGATGCAAGGGCTATGCTATCACTTGACCACTGGTTTTTCAGACTGATAGAACTCATAACTCTGTTCAAGATACTTCCACACATGGGGTCACCAAATGCCTCTTTATAGGGGAAGAGGAAAACCGTGTTCAACATCCTTGAACCACTACTTAAAGACTTCATATATCATTATAGCTTAATGCTTGCATATGTAGACTGAATGCTTCATTGATCTGGTATCTGATCCTCACCTGAAACAGCTAGAAATTCTACCCAATAGTTTTAAACATCACAGAATGCAAGAGTTAAAAGATCTTAATAGGTACCTAATCCAACCTATAAATGAATGAAAGGAATTCTCACTACTATATACCAAAAAAGTGATGACAAAAGCAAAACCGATGTCTTAATAGACACTTTCATTGGAATTTTGAAAAGCTATTTGAGTTCAACAGGATGGACCCAACCAGAAGGTTAAATGTAGTATACCAAGGCTGAGAATTTTTTAAAAAACTACATTTGCAATAACTCTTATGAGGGGCAGCTAGGTGGCACAGTAGATAAAGCACCAGCCCTGGAGTCAGGAGGACCCAAGTTCAAATCCAAACTCCAATATTTAACACTTACTAGCTATGTGACCCTGGGCATGTCACAACTTTGATTACCTCACAAAAATTAAATAAACTAACTAAATGAAATAACCCTCATGTTTCTTCTATATTCGTCAGTAATTGTGTAAGCATTTCAGGAGCTGGCCAACAGCACACGTTGTGACCATGAGAGGAAAGGTACGATTAACAAGGAACATGAAGGCAAACACTGAAGACTCCAATGGCCAAAGCCTCTTGAGAACTCACTGAAAATCTGCTAAAAGGCATTGTAAGACCACATCAATATCAGCCTTCACTTAAAGTAGCAAACATTAACACCAACTTGAAAGCAACAAACACCAAACGAGCACATGGGTGGAATTTGAAAAAAAAGTATAATGGGAAATTCTAGATGCTTTAGATCAACTATTGAAAACAAAGACTAAAAGTTTAGGAGGATGTAAGGAGTTTAAGGAAAAAAAGATTTATCATCAATTGAAAATTTTACTATAAATGCTTAAGAAATGAATAGATGAAAGGGAAGAGAGGACATCCCATACATGTTGTAAAAAGTCCAGAACAAAGAAAATGCAAATTGGATCAAGCCCAACGCCAATAGTCATGTATCTATTAATTAGCAGAATGGTCCATCAAGGTAGTGATTAAAATATTGACTTTACTGAAAAATTAGAAGTGGGAGCTCCATATCAGATTCATAATTAGTAGGTCCAAGGCTTCACAGTAGGGCATGAATTCTCAGCAAGCCTCATCCTATCTTACTTAAGGTCTCATCAGTACCTATTATCAAAAGGTGACAACACTTTAATGGACTGATTTCACATAGAAATTATCGCTCCTGCCCCCTCCAATTTTATAAACAGGACAATATCACATAAATCTAGACATCTGCTGTCAATTTAGCTTTACTACAGAAGTGAGTCAAGGGCCCTTTAAGGGAAAAGCTGTTGCTCTATATCTCAAGAGACTCAGTAGCTGAATGACCCAAAGGAAGGTACTTATTTTCAATTTTGACAGCAAATTCGGATGAAATTTGGTCAGCAAATGTCTTAAATACTTCTAGAACAAACTGTTCAAGCAAAGAAAGGTTCCCATCATGGAATAAACTAGTATCTCCTACTTCCTGGAACAAGAGCTCCATAAGAATCAGTTACACTAATGTAATTGAATCCCAGATGGGCCTCCTCACTAAACACGTCTCATTTTAGAAATAATGAATTTTGAATAGAGAGGCTTAACAATAGACCGAAGCACATCATTAAGGGTCTCATTTTCTGCCAGGGTCCTATTCGACAGAGCACCCAGGCAAGGAATTGAGGGGACAGTAAAAAATGGATTTCTGTCTTTTTAAAAAAATTATGGCCATAAAATTTTTTAAAATTTATTTATTTCTAGTTTTCAACATTTACTTCCACAAGATTTTGAGTTCCAATTTTCCTCCTCATCTCTCCCCTGCCTCCACTCCAAGCCAGCGTACATTCTGAATACCCCTTCCCCAAATCTTCCATCCTTCTACCACACCCTCCCCTTCTCTTATCCCCTTCCCCTTCTATTTTCCTGTAGGGCAGGATAGATTTCTATATCCCATTGCTTGTATATCTTATTTCCCAGTTGCATGTAAAAACAATTTTTAACATTTGTTTTTAAAATTTTGGGCTCCAAATTCTCTCCCTTCCTCCCTCCTCACCCACTCTCATTGAGAAGGCAAGCAATTTGATACAGGCTACATATGTGTAGTCATGCAAAACACTTCCATAATAGTCATGTGGTGAAAAACTAACTATATTTCCCTCTATCCTATCCCACACCCCCATTTATTCTATTCTCTCCTTTGAGCCTTTCCATCCTCAAAAGTGTTTGCTTCCTATTACCCCTTTTCCTAAAGAGTAAGATAGATTTCCATACCCAACTGAGTGTGTATGTTATTCCCTCCTTAAGACAAATTCAATGAGTAAGATTCACTCATTCCCTCTCACCTTCCCCTCCACTGTAAAGGCTTTTTATTGTCTGTTTTATGGGAGATAATTTACCCCATTCTACTTCTCCCTTTCTCCTCCCAATATAGTCCTCTCTTACCCCTTAATTTTATTTTTTAGATATCCCTTCATCTTCAACTCACCCTGTGCCCTCTGAATGTTAATTTTTTTCCCCTGAAGGATTATACTCAGTTTTGCTGGGTAGGTGATTCTTGGTCATAATCCTAATTCCTTTGATCTCTGGAATATCATATTCCAAGTCCTCTGGTACCTTAATGTAGAAGCTGCTAAATCTTGTGTTAACCTGATAGTGTTTCCACAACACTTGAATTGTTTCTTTCTGGCTGCTTGTAATATTTTCTCCTTGACCTTGGAACTGGCTATAATATTCCTAGGAGTTTTCCTTTGAGAAATTCTTTCAGGAGGTGTTTGGTGGATTCTTTCCATTTCTATTCTACCCTCTGGTTCTAGAATATCAGGGCAGTTTTCTTTGATATTTCTTGAAAGATGATGTCTAGGCTCTTTTTTTTTTTTTAGTCATGGCTTTTAGGTAGTCCAATAATTTTAAAATTATCCCTCCTGGATCTATTTTCTAAGTCGGTTATTTTTCCAATGAGATTTCACATTGTCTTCTATTTTTTTCATTCTTTTGGTTTTGTTTTACAGTTCCTTGATTTCTCACAAAGTCATTAGCTTCCATTTGCTCCATTCTAATTTTTAAGGAATTCTTTTCTTCAGCAAGTTTTTGGACTTCCTTTTTCCTTTGGCCAACTCTGTTTTTTAAGGCATTCTTCTTCCTCATTGGCTTTTTGGACCTTTTTGCCATTTGGGTTAGGCTATTTTTTAAGGTGTTATTTTCTTCATTAACTTTTGGAGTCTCTTTTAGCAAGCTGTTGATTTGTTTTTCATGATTTTCTTGAATCACTCTCATTTCTATTCCCAGTTTTTCCTCTATTTCTCTCACTTGCTTCTCAAAATCCTTTTTGAGCTCTTCTGTGACCTGAGACAAATTTATTTTTTTTTCTTGTAGGCTTTGGATATAGGGGCTTTGACTTTGTCTTCTTCTGGTTGCATGTTTTGATCTTCTTTGTCACCAAAGAAAGATTCTATGGTCTGAGGTTTTTTGGTACTGTTTTCTCATGTTACTGGCTAATTCCTTGACTTCTAAACTCTTTGTTAAAGTAGGGGTCTGCTTCCAGTATAGAGTAAGTACTGTCCCAAGCTCCAGGGGTTTTGTGTAGCTGTTTTCAGAGATACTTCTAGGGACCTGAAAATTTTCAGTTCTTTCAAGGTGGTATGATCAAAGGCAAGGTGTTTACTCCTTTCCTGGCCTATACTCTGGTCTTCACGTGACCACAAGCACTCTTTTCTGACTTGGAACTGTGAAGAGGATTCCCTCTTCACTGTCACCACAAGCTCCACTATGTCAGCACTCCTCTTTGCCCCGACTGTGACCCAGATCCAAGCAAGGGCAAAGCAAGAGAATCCTGCCTCAGTACCAGCAAAGAGATCTCTGCAATCCCTCTCTGATCAGCCACTTGATCCCCCCTGTCTGTGGGCCAAGAGCTCCAGAAGCAGCCATCACACCAGGGCTGTGCCAGGATTGGGGCTGGGCCACATTCCTCTCTCACTGAGGTCTGATAAACCTTTCCTACTGACCTTCTAAGTTGTCTTTGGTGTTTGTAGGTTGAGAAGTCTGGAAACCACCACAGTTGCCTGTGATTCAGTCCCCTGAGAACTGCTCCAGGTTTGCTGAGGCCTGGTCTTTGCCTGTATAGCCCATGCTGAACTGTGCTCCTCTCCTAGCCTGGTGCCACAGACCTTTCCCATCAACCATCCAGGTTGTCTTGGGCTGGAAATTTGTTTCTCTGTCTTTGTGGGTTCTGCTGCTCTAGAATTTGTTTAGAGACATTTTTAATAGGTTTTTGGAGGAGAGCTCAAGTAAGTCACTGCTTTTACTCCACCCCCAATGAATTTCTATCTTGAGAAGGCTTCTATCAGAACCAAGTTTTCTATTCCTTCTCCTTCCCCTAATCCTCAATATAGCTTAGAACTGCTAGGAAGATAGTTACCTAGAACTGTGCTTATATTTGAAGACTCTTTCTAACTTCGTAGACATCAAGCTGAAGCCAAGAAAATAAGTACCACTGAAATCCTAGATGAGATCATTAGTAACCGTCATGTATGTTTAAGACCAGTGACTCAGAGTGAATCCTTTGGTACCTAGAGTGGAGCATGGTGAGTATTTCCACCCAAGATATAGCTCAAGGTCCCATATTGCCTATAATGCAGGGGTTAGATAGCCCAAATATATTGGGGATGGGATAATTATATCCCATCTCACCTACTTAGTGAGGTACTATGTAAAATATGCCCTTTTGAACAAGACCACTATAATCCCCAGCATCATGACAGTAGATGACCTTGAAGGTAGAAATGTACTCTCTCTGGTATCTCACTCTCTCAAATTCATATACCCTCAGGTCTCATCTATTTCGTGACCAAGAACAAAAGGGAATGCCATGGGTAGTCCTTTCTCTCTCACCAAAAAAGGACATTATTGACATTCTTTATTAGCTCTTTGGAGATTACAATGTACCCAAGTTATCAAATCCATTAGTCAAAGCCCTGTAGACTAGGAACAACTCCCCTCAATGTCCCTTTCCTCCTCAACCAATACCAATAAAAAGAGGTCTGGGATGTAGGTCCATGTCAGTATACATTGTGGATGGTGGGCAGAGAAATGAGAAGTTCCTCCTGAAAAAAGACTAATCAAATAAGGGGGAAAAAAAACCCTGCTACCAGTACACAGAAGAGTGGAAAGGACATAGGCTGTCATGCACCTAGGAGTGGAACTGTACCCTTTTTGCTCTAGAACTGCCAAATCCATTCCCAATAACAGACTTCTACAAACCCTAGGCTTGCAGGCTGGAGTAGATACTATGGCAGCAAGACTGTGCCGACTATTACAAGAAAAGCATGTTTGGGAAGAAAGATGAGGATAGAATGAATTCCATGTGTGGGTATTCAAAGAAATTTTTAAAATAATGATAATATTTAAATAGCATTTTAAGGTTTACAAAGTGCTTTATAAATATTATCTCAATTTATCCTAACAACCCTGAGAGATGCTATTATCCCTATTTGACAAATGGGGAAGCTGAAGCAGGGAGAGGGGTCAGTGACTTGACCACAGTCACAGCTAGGAAGTGTCTCAGACAGGATCTGACCCTTCTTAACTTCAGGTCTAGCTCTCCCTCCCCTCCATCCCCCAGCTGCCTCACTGCTTAAAGCCAGATTTCAGAACCTACACGGGCAAATGGCAAGTAGAGATCAAATGGAGATTTCCTAAGTATTTCAGACTGTTGTTCACTTACGGTGTACCCCTTGCTTCTTTAACCCTGGCCACCTTGCTTTCTTACTAGCCCCCTTCCTCCTTATGCTCCATTTGGACCCTTTGAGTCCTATTCTTGCTTTTGTCTGACTCAGAGATTGACGGTCTTAAGCAGACTCAAGTGAAGAAGCTACAAGTGCAATATGCTGTGAGATGTTGGCCGTTAGAGTTTCTGTTTGCTTATATTAGCTCTTCTGCCCTCCCTGTACAGATATCCCCACAGAACCAGATTCCTTGCTCTCTAATAAAGGGAAAGTTCAGTCACTACTATGGATCTTTCAGAGGCATTGGGAGCATATGAACAGAAAAAGAACACTTACCCTTCCTTGAATTTAAGACAGCAATCTTGACACGTGATACTTGTTTTGAGGCCAGAGCCTATGTGATGTAAGGATATTTACCACGAGTTGTATCTGACTTGTTGAGAAAATGTTGTATTCATTGTTCCTGATAGCAGTGTTTGGGTTCTTTGGACGAAGGACCAAGAAAAAAAAGTTAAGAGTTTAAGAACTCAGGCAAAATTCCTGATATTGCAAGGAAACTTACTGTTAGCTACTATTAATGTTTTTTCCTGGGGCGGTTCTATTTTGTTTTTACTACTTTGTGGGTTGCCTTTTAACTGGAAGTTGCTGAATTTTATTAAAGAGATCATTTGAGTCTTAGGGCTATGAGTCTTCCATTGTACCAAACATGGAACCACATTTCCATCACTACCTATTGTCAGTCAACAGAATTGTAGGCAAGGCAGGTGAGGGGCTACATGTCACAAAGCTGCCTTTCTGCAGTCAGAATGAACATTTGGTATGTGAGGTAGGAGGGGCCATGTCTGATGTGCTGCTTGTCATTAATAAAGATATATATATTCCTTCCCATAGGAATTATGAAATCCATACTATTGACATCTACAATAAACTTAACAATGTAATAAATATTAATAATCCAGGGTTATTGCAGACCCATTGTTTTGTTCCTCTCAAGTAGGAGCCTGAGAGAAGTATCCTATACAGTAGAGTGTGAATAATTATTAGCTACTCCCAAACCCAATTGTGACCTTGAGAAGTCAAGGTAGACTTTACCAGGGATTAGAACCTGAGTAACTGGGGGGAAAACATAATGGTTTCAGCTGAATAAATGGATCCCAATTAAGAAACTGCATAAGGGATTACAGAGAAGTCTAGAACCTCCATGGATATAAATTTGCATCCATCTTCATCATTTTGGGAGTCTAAAAACTGACCTAAGTTACGTCTTAATGACATCTTAGAGTAGCAGATTCCCCATTGATCTTAGATCTATCACACCCATTCTCCCATTACCCGCTATTGACTACCCACTTTTACTAACTCTACTGCTATTATGAATTACTCTAAAGAGTAGAGAGCCATATAAGTGAGTATGTAGTAAAAGGCAGCTGGGTAGAATTGGAAAGAAAGCCCCTTGACTTATTTTATTCAAGGCTGGCTGGGTGGCATTCTATCTCAACCTAAGATATCCATGAAATACCACTATATTATCATTACTTTCACAGCATTGGTAGAGGTTGAGGGCAAATGAGATCCATTTGAGGTGTCCACATGCCATAGGAATAGGAGAGGCACTTGGGTCAGACACTCCAACTAATTCTTCTAAGACCATTCATACAACTGGCTTGACTGGACAGTGTTCTAGTATGGTATTTCAGATGAATTTATGAAAGGAAGAAACGTATAAAGAGGTTCAATAAGGTAGTGGGCATTATGAACTTACCCATGTTCTCCTAAATTGAATGGGCCTCCCAAAAGCATTGTCCCTGCTTAGGCTGCCACATATGTTATGAAAGGCTGTGAAATCAGGTCTTCATGAGCCTTTAGGCATAAAGTAGTTTGAACTGATGGCTTTAGAAAAATTACTTAAGGAATTGTGGGTCTAGAGTAACCAAAGGTCCATAGAGATATGATTTTATGAGTTTTGGAGTCACTGGTTCATGTTCTTGACTCTCAAAGAGCAAATGGGAAGGACATTCAGCCATTTAGACTAGGGCTATAAAAGTGCCTACAGAACCTAAAAGGAAATATTGCTTCCTACATTCCATCTATGTATTGACTAGGTAAGGCAGAAACATAATAGAAATCAAACATTAAGCCACAAACTTGAAAATAGTAAAGAATTTAAGGGCCTTCCTACTTCCTGCTATCAGCACAATAAGTGTTGTTCTACCATTTGGGGTTTGGAATAAAAGTCTTGCATCTAAGCACAGCTCTTTGGGGGTACCAATTAGGAAATGAAAAGAGCAGTGTGTCTTAGGTGAGGCTACCTTCCTGGCAGATGGTCATTCTCTATTTGAGAGCTATCACAGAGCCAAACACACTACATGCTCATGAGTCAATGGAACAAGAAGAAGATCTGTGGAACTGTGTCCACGCCTTGATCATGAGGCAAGATTCAAGCATTAAAACCCTGTAGTATTTGGTCTGGCTTTCTGAAGCCAACTGGACTGCAAGTCAATTTCCTCAAAGGATGAGGCATGGAATGCTATCTTTATCTTTCCCATTTATTTTCTTCTAGGCACAGGTAAGATCTCAAAAGTGACACCCACTTTTAGGTGAGGGGAAGCATGGTGTCAAGTCCTTCTGAGGCCGAGTTTTGCTCCCAGAACAAAGTGGCTGTTTAAGGTAGTATAACATGTACATCTGCCATCACAACTGGTCTCTTCTCTCCTCCCTCTTGACCTCCCACCAAAGCTCACTTTTCCCCTTTCCACAGTCACCTTCCAGATAAGCCAAGGAAGTTTAATACCCATCCCTTCCTAGTACACAGTGGCAAATCCAACATTTATTAATCATCCACTGTGTGCACATTATTGGGCTAGACCATGGAAGAGATTTAAAGTTTAGATAAGACTTTCTACCCTCTTGGAACATAGCAGAGACTCTAGACATACAAACCAAACATAAGAGGGTCATGTGCTTATTACCTAAGCATATTAATAGCTAACATTTATATAGCATTTTGAAGTTGGCTGAACACTAAACATGAAATAACCACTTACTACAAGTTTTCTTCATACATATGTAAGTCAAGGAAACTGCGTTTCAGATCTTGCTATCATTTGTTATATGTACATGTGCAAATTATTCAACTTCTCACAACCCAAGTTTTGTTTTGTGTTTTTTTTGGTGGAGGATTTTTGTTATAGTCTTAGTACTGTAAGTAAGGCCACATGGCCTCACTGAAGAATCAGTAAGCTATGGGTGGGTTTGCTGGAGAAGTCATTACTAACTGGACATAGGAGAGGCATTATATAGAAACATATATGATGGCAGGAGTATTTGTATTGGTTTTTAAAGCCTAGGTAGGAATTAAATAAACAACAAATAGTAGAGGGGGCTCTCTCGGTAACAAGCTCTCACTTTTCCCTTATTGAAGACTAACTCACTCCCTTAATGTTACCTTCCTTTCTCCCCTGTGGAGGGAGGTGGCAAAACATATTGATCTCTTCATACTGTAAAGCCTAACCCCATTTCCTGAGCTCTCGTTGGCATTAGGACTTTGTTTCCACAGATAAAAATAGGCTGACTGCCTGCATCATCCAGATAACCAATGTGGCAGTCATCTAAAATAGTCCAGAGATATCCTAGTTCTTTAACAGTATTAGTGACTGTATTGTTCGAAGCCTACAAAATCTTTGCCTCCTCAATAGAACCTGGATTCTGCACATGACCATTTGTTTTTTTTTTTTTCCAGTTTATCATCTACAATAAACCACTGAAAGTTCAGCATGATCTCACCTCTGGGGTGTTCAGGATTGTGCACCAAATTTCTCATAAACTCTTAATAGGAAACATGACAATGTACTTGCATGTGGCTCAGTTCACTTCAAACCAACCCAGTGAATGATGCTAAAGAGGATTTTTAGGGGAACCCAGGTTTTAGAGCACCTTGTCACAAAAGAAGCTGAGGAAGCAAAGGTGAGTGAGCCCTGATGATGCCCTCTAAGAAGGCTTGAATAAGTACCCTAGTGTCTGTCATGACAATCCAATAAGCTTCAAGATTTCAAGAGGCGCACCATAGTCCAGCATGAGATACAGCACCTGTAAATGAAGGAATTTCAGATATACCCAGAAGTTTAAGGCACATGAGCCAGCCTTCAATCCAAGTGCCCCATTTTACAGCTTGCTGGAAGTCTCGATCTCGTCACCTTTTTTGCATATACAGATACAGGTGCTTGTTGTCTCCCCTTCTCACCTAGCTTAACTCTTTGGGAGTCAAACTCCCTGAGAATGGGGATCATTTCATTGTTTCTTGTATCCCCAGTGCCTAGAACATGTGTTCAATTAATATTTGTCAATTAAAGAAAAAGAGAAAACTACCAGGGCAAAGTGCTGTGTGTGTGTGTGTGTGTGTGTGTGTGTGTGGTAATAAAGAAACTGACAAGCCCTGAATTAGTCAAACCTGCTATAAGTCAAATTGGCTGAGGATCACAGTGTCACGGATGGGCTCAACCACCACATGCCAGTGGCTCTTCCCCATCTCTCCCTTTTCAACTACATGGCAAAGAAGCCAGAGAGAATTGAGATCCTAGACTGAGTCAAGATGGATGGCAAGAGATGGCAGTTAACAGAGGCTTCACCTATCCGGGTTGAAGCAATAATGCTTTTAATGCCTAGTGAGTTTTAAAGGAGGTCAGATGACTCCAGATGGGTCACCAGGACAGATTACTATCTCTCAGCAGAAAGATCAGTCATTCCCTGACAGATCAGGACCTTTTAACATCTGCCATCCTTATTTCCTCCTGCTCCTCAGAGAACTAGGAGGTCAATGAGAAAGGGTTCTTGTCTTCCTCTTGTAGATAACCTATCTTTCTTCTTTAAAACAAGGTAACTTCTAAATTAAATCCTAATTCTTTGAAGCCCAATTCTGCTGTATGCCTCAGTCTTCATCCTGCTCTCAAGGGATCAGGTGGCCTTACCCACTTGGGCCTTTGGTTTGTCTCCCCTTTATTTTTGGTGATTTAAGGTAGTTTTGAAGAAATCCAACTGCCATAGTAAGACTTCTTTTGCCCAAACATCTTATTCTTCACCTACTTTCTTGCATCTTCAATTTTTCCCTGGTTCCTTCCCATTTGCCCCATCTCTCATAACCTATTAGCCTCTATACTTCTGCTTTGACTCAAAATTAGTGCAAAGACTCATTCAATGCCTTCTAGTCAGTCAATAACTATCAAATAAGTAGCTACTGTGTGGTTACACATAGTACTAAGCACTTTATCTCATTTGATCCTACCATCAACCCTAATGATGTCCATTTTACAAAGGTGAAGTGACTTTTTCACCATCACATCAGAAACCACATTTGAACTCAGGTCTTCCTGACTCCAGGCCCAGCACTATCCACTATGCCACCTAGTTTAAGTGTACTACAGTTATACTTTTCTGAGTTTCCAATGACCAGAGACCACTCATTGCCTTTTCCTGAGTCTTCATTTTCATCAGCTCGTCTTGCATTTAACAGTGATTGTCACCAACTTAGCTGTCTTCCTCTTGACTTTCACATCTTCTTGTCTCCTTTTCTGCCCTTCTCTTATGACTTCACTAGTCTTTTGGTTTCTTCTAATTCTTTAAATAGGAGTATCCATTCCCAAGTCTGTGCTCTTCCCTCTCTCAATACTGCCTCTGTTCCTATTCAAATGATTCC